ATTTATATAGATGACCAAAACTAGTTTAGGATTTTTTTAAAACAATAATTGAATTGGTGGGATATATATGAAGCTAATGGTGTTCTCAAACTTAGTATTCTTTGAAAGTTTTGCATGCAATTTCGTTTGTGATTCTGAATGAAATAAATCAGGTGGAGTAGGAACATGGAATAGATATAGAAGAATTATATAGCTGACCTTAACTAGTTAGGGATTTACTCAATAATAAAATTGAGTTGGTGGATATATGTGAAGCTCTTTCTCGTACTTGGTATTCCTTCAAAGGGTTGCATGTAAATGAAGTTGGTTCTTTTATTTATGATTCTGTATGAAATGAGTCCAGTGGGGCTGAATATTCATAGAGGATTTATATAGAGTACCCAAGCTAGTTTGGAATAAACTTGACAACCAAATTAAATTTGTGGGGTATATATGAAGCTAATGGTTTTCTTAACGTTGGTACTTTTTAAAGGACTGCTAGTTAATTAAGTTTTTTTTTTTTGGAAGGGGGGGGGGGGTAACCAGATTACAACCAGAATGGTAGTAAAGTTATTTTCTTTTGTGTTCCATATAATTAAGGTTCGGCACTGGTCCATTTGTGTAAATGCTTGATACTAGTTCAATGCATTATTGAACAATTGCATAATGAATGTAAAGAACTCTAAATTTGTTCGTGGGGATAGTGTAATCGACAAGAAGATGCCAGAAAGAAGCTTAAATTCTGAATATATCTTCTTTTTCACCCTATGAAAGACAAAAGATTATTGAGTTATATTTCTTTTTGGCATCTCAAATACCATCTAACTTCTGCATTTCTTCTCTCTGATGATATCCAATCTGCTCCCAGGGAGGCTTTTCCCATTTCATATGATAGATGGAAAAATATTGAAGTACATTGCAATAATGACCAAAGTATCAGGCACTCGCCCCTATCAAAGCAGGACAATGCAGAGTTACCTGAGCTAGCTTTTAACCGGCTTCAGCAAACTGATGATGGGTACGCTGGATTGCAAAGGCGAAACTTTGGACGTTTCATTGCTCGTGAGGCTGTGCTGGATGAAGAATATTGGGTTTGTTGCTGCTTTTGAAGAATAATTTTATGGCTATCCTTTGTTACTCTTTCTAAATATATCTCAGATTTTCTTGTTCCTCTGTCTTGCTGTCAATGACAGACAGCAGCCTGGCTCCGAGCAGAAGCTCATTGGGAATCTGTCTCCTATATGAGGTTAGAGCTCGCACGTATCACCTATCCCTCTTCTTATTAGGACTAGTTTAAATATTATTTTCTCTATGTAAGTCTGAGTTGTTATATGGTAAATATTAACTGTACTTTTGCTAATTTTAGGCACGTTGATGCATATAAAAGAAAGTATGCCGAACAGGTGAGTTGCAGTATAAAAAAATTTGTTTGTTAGTAGTTAAAATATTATTTGTTGAAGTTGAGATCTTACCATCTAATATATTTCCCCTTTTCCCTACAACTCAGTAGAATCACATAAAGTTGTTTTAGAATATTTCCCCGTCTCATGGCTTCCCCACAGTGGTCTGTCCTATCATAACTTTAATCTATATCTTTAGGTTGGCCAGTTAGTAATTAGTTCAGTGAGCCCTCACATGTTTATCAGTGAAAGACATGTAGGGTGAGAGCTCCAAACTTACTCTTCTCATGCCAGCTTGAGGTTTATACAATGTTATCAAAAGCAACAAGTGCACAAAAACTCTAAGGTCTATTGGGGCTTTAAGCGTGAAACATAAAAAAAATGCGCACTTAATGCAAAGTGCACATTAAGCAAGGCAAAAAGTGCTCAACACATGGAGTAGAAGACAAGGGAAGTTCTATTCTCTGCTGGAAGAAGCTTGTTTCTGTTAAAGCTTTAGGAAAAATTAACATCTATCATATTCATGTTACCAGCATTGGTTTTGTGAGTTCTGTACTTTTAGTATTAACACTTGGCAAAAGAGCAAGAACAGATCCGTGCCTACTTTTAATAGTGTACATTTAGCATTTGGGATTATAGGTCTCATTTAACGTCGAAGCCAATGCTCATAAATGATATTGTATTTTTCTAGGATTGTTATTAAAACAGCAGTTGTAGTTTTAATTTTGGGAGAAGGTGTTTCACGTGGTTGATGAGCTTGCATTTAATTAGACATGTTCAAATGACATATATTTGGTACTAGCAACTACACCTTTGTGATAGTGTTCTTCTTCCGTTTATAAATATTGATCATCATATGTTGCTCTAGTTTCTACCGCTTGTATTGGTTAAACCCTCATTTTTATTTCCTTTTCTTTTCGTTCCACTATTTGTGGGCAGGAGTTTTATGCTTTAAAGAGAAGATGTTCTGGTCAGGATGGAAATTGCTTGAAGTGCTTTTGTTTTGTTGCGGTACGTATAGTGGGTTCTAGACAAGTTTCCTGGTCTTCCTTAGTGTTATGTATGCACAAGTTGCAACTGATTAATCATAGTTGGATTTAGATGGCCCTCTAACTTTCAGAATTGCTTTCATTTTACCATTGATTTCAAATATAGTGCTTTGCATCTAATCTGATTTCGCCTGTGCCAATTTATTAGTATCTAAGATTCTATTAGCGGTAAAAAGTAATGATAAAGATTTTTAAAAAATGATTGGGACTCATCTCTAATTTCTCGATAGCCAGTGCTAGTAACAGTTCTTATCTATTATGTGCAAATAGCTTCAAAAAAGTTGGTGACTTGGTGTTGGTTCATAAGCTGAAGGAATCTAAGAACCTCATACAGCGGGGGCTGCTTCATAATGCATAAAGACTGACAAATCATGCTAAAAACTTTCCTGGGTCTTTGCTAGGCCTCTTCATGTCATACTAAGCTGTTGAATACTTAAGTGCCTTATATTACATTATTTGGAGCTAAAGAAACATTTTTCAGGCTACTTGAGTTAGTGTTCACTAATTTCCTTTTCGTACATGAGTTAACTGCTTGTGAATCAAACACCTATTTTCTGATTTAAGAACTGTAAAAGCACTTAGGTCTTGATGATTCCAGCAGATAGGAAACACAGGAGGTGATGGATCTGCTCCTTTGAGCAATTCCTTCATCCAATGTGAGAATGAATACATATAGATTGTGCTGGATGTTATCGATGAATTCCGGCTAGGAAGTAACACGTGAACTGCAAAATAAAATTTTCTGTTTAAAGCATGAACCAGCTAGACTACCTATCAGATAAAAAGCTCAACTGTATATGTGCATTTTGAATTTTGATGAGAAGATTTGTATTCCCGTGAGGCATGAGCAATTAAACTTCACCACTTCGTGCCAGTGGCTTGATGCTTCTTCAAGTGCTGTAATCCTCTTAACAAGTTCTACTTTCTGCAAAATTTGATGAGAGTTTCAAACATGCTCAAGAGCTTCTGCTATGTACTTAAAATGATTGTTATGTGATATTCATTCTTTTAGAATTTGATGTTTTCTTCATGCAAGTAAGATGATTGTTGTGTGATATTTATTCTTTCAAGTTTGATATTTATATTGGATATTCCTCAGCCTTCAATTGTTTCAGGTCAAAAAGGAAGAGAAGAATGTTAGAAGAACAGTACTTAACAGTGTAGTGGGTACGTTGGACTTGTCCATCCGGAAATTTGTACAAAGGGAGAGATACCCAGGGGTACCAACTTAAGCAAACTTTTAGATAAATGTTAGATTTCTAAATGCATCTTCTTTTATGCTGTGATTGGGCTTAACTGTTGGCCTGGATTAGTGGAATTTGATTTTATTGCAACTTTGCATATGTTGCTATGTCTAAAATAATGGGGATGCCTACATCTTTGCATCTAATTCTATTGCCATGATTTATTCACTTATGTTATTTCATTTTCGATCTGCTTTGATATGCTTTTCCTCGAGTCGAGGGCTTATTGGAAACAACCTCTTTGACTCCCAAGGTAGGGGTAAGGTCTCAATTCTGCAACAGGAGAAAAAGGAAGAAGAAAGCTTATACTGTACTTTTTATTCCTTCTGTTGAGGTGGGGGTAAATGTGTGTACCAGATTTTGCTTAACCTGCTGAATTCCTTTTCCTCTCATTGTCTCCAGGAAATCAAAAGGTTATCAGTTGTCTTGGCACATCAAGAACCCTTTGATTCACATAAATATGCATACATTGCAAATGTTAGTGTTGCAAAGTTTGCTCGACGTCAGGGTATTGCTTCAAATATAATACATTTGGCTGCTGATATGGCCGCATTAGAAGGTATCTTGTTTCAGCTTTAGACTTTTTAATGTGCTCTTCATTATGATCTACCAGTTCAGAATTTCCATCCCTTTTAATCAATTTTCGCTGAACTATGTCTAATCTATTTTTCACATGTCCAAGCAGGTTTCAAGCAACTATTTGTTCATGTAAATGCAGATAACATACCTGGCCAGGAATTATACAAAAAAACCGGCTTTAAGGTTAGCTTCAATCTGTTTTTCCATAACCGGATGATCTTATCGCTATTGCTTAGTGAGATCTGTTTATGTGTATGACCATCCTTCATCAGCTCTTCTTTCTCTTTTTTTTTTGACAAGTGAATGCTTGTTTTCATTATTGTGTTTTTTTGTTTTGGACGTCTTATTGTCTGCATTGCATCTCTCATAATCATCCCAAGAGTTGGAGTCAGTGGCTAAGTTGACCTTCAAAACAAGGTAGCTCTTTATGAAACGTCTTTCATCAAATCTGATATGATAACCTGGAAATTAGAGTAATAACTTACAATAACCTGTTGAATTGAATTGACGGTGTAACATTTCTTTACCCGTGATGTTAACTTAAATCCTTTTGAAATTTCTTACTTCAACTTATCATAGTTTGGTTGACAATCAACTCTTGATTATAACAAAAGGTGCGTCGCGTCTTTTGACTTACTCTTATCACTCCATGCAGATCGTGGAAGCCGACTCATCGTCTCTATCGAAAGAACAGAGGATACTGATGTCCTTAGATTTATAGTTTCCCTTAGCCACTTCCAGATTAAAGAGGATGTGTTAGTTTGTACATTTTTACATGGTTTGAAGCCAATACCTTGTTGGTTGATGTATGTATTATTGGGTAGACAGACAACTAGTTAGTTACAGAGAGTATAATATATGTATAAGGAAGTTGTACGGTTTGTTTGGCCTACGGAACAGGTACGTAAGGATACACGTTTATTTGATTATCCTATACGAGCATATCCGGTTACATATTCAGACTGTATACATGAGACATTTTGACATGAATATTAAGCTGAGAGACATCACAATGTTATACCAAAAGAAGAAGAAGAACAAATGGCCTTTGCTTTCTCCTTGCCATCATAATTTTGTGCTCCAGCTCTTCAATGATTCTTACAAGCCATTTCAGGTTTCCAGTTGAAATCATGAAATATGTTATGGATAATCCAATACATAGCCCACTTCCATACCCCATAAGAGCAGCTTTCCAAAAATGACACAGGAATTCAGAATTGCTCTCTTCATCGTCTAGCTGTCCAGATACGGCATGATTTGTCCCTGATACACGATCATCGCCACAACTTCTTGTGAAGGGAAATCCACGTAATCCATCGTTGCCTTCATATGAATTGTTCTCAAAGGTATGAAATTGATTTCCTTGAGGAATGCACCCTTCGAGATGATTGTAGGAGAGATTTAAGACTTCAAGAGATGTAAGAGAAGAAAATCGTGCTGGTATCTCTCCTACAAGATGGTTACTTGACAGGTCCAATGATTCAACCAAGGATAAACTTCCAAGTGACGGAGGTATATGACCTTGTAATCGATTATGAGATATATTCAGCACACGAAGTGCAATGAGATCTCCCATAATACTCGGAATATATCCTTCAAATTTGTTGTTTGAAAGATCAACATTGGTGTACAAAAACAAGATTCTCACAACTTCAAATTTTAATCCCTTTGTCACGAAAGCTACCGTGTCTTGGTAATATCGACTTCCTTCATCACTTGGTGTGTTCAGCGTTTGATGAACTGTCCTCATGGCTTTCAAATGTTGAAACAAACCCGGTGGTATGTTTTTTGTGAATGCATTGGAGGAGAGATCTAATATTTGAAGCTGAGGAAACATGTTTTCAGTTGTTAGAGTCCTAATGGCTCCATGCAGTTTATTGGATCTCAAGCTTAGGACTTTAGCTCCCAACCACACGGGGAATGTGTCGTTGAGATGATTGTCTCCTAAATCAACAACTTCGAGTTGTTGGCAGTTGATCAAGGATCGTGGGATTTTTCCCTCCAGCTTATTCCCATGAAAGTTGAAGCTTTTGAGTGCACTTCCAGTTCTAAAAGTCGTTGGAAGAGTCCCTGAAAGACTGTTGTGGTGCATATCCAGAACTTGGAGGGCACTGATATTACCCAAACATAGCGGAATTGCTCCCTTCAAGTTGTTTCCTGCCAAATCTAGCATTACCAGTGACGTCGAGATGCAAATAGACGAAGGAATCTCCCCGCTGAGATTATTATGGGATATTAAGAAGAATCTTGTGGACATTGGTGGAATAGGTAGTGAACCTTGAACCGCAAATCAATGACATTTGCAGATTGAAGAGGAATTGACTCAACACTTTCCAGCATGTTGTGGGATAAATTAAGATGTTTCAATGAATACATCCAGTTAGACCATGCCCAATCTGGGATTTTCCCTTCAATCTTATTATTTGAAAGATCCAAATGCCAAAGAAGCTTTGCGGATCTTAGAAACTCCAATTCTTTCACTTCACATGCAGCCAACCGTAAGCTCATAAGAGATCCTGGCAAAGTAACATTATGTTTGTTCTCGTTGGTAAATGCAATACGATTATATGAAAGATCAAGATAACAAAGCTGCTTGAGGTCAGCAAAGAAGCTGACATCCACATGGCCACTCAAATTATTGAGAGAAAGAATAAGGCCTGTTAGGTTCACAAGGTTTTGAATTGAATTGGGAAGATGGCCTTGCAGCTGATTATTGCTTAAATCAATCCAGGTTAGTGAATTGGACTTGGAATCCTCAAACATACCAGAAACGTGGTTATTACTCAAGACTAAACGATTGAGTGACGGAAGAGAGAACATCCCTGATGGTATGGTTCCATTTAGGGAGTTATCTGAAAGGTCCATATCCAATATGTGTGTGAGATTCGAAAGAGATTCAGGAATAGGCCCTCGAAGGTTGCATTTTTTAAGAGACAAAGAATGCAGTGAGGTTAGATAACCGACAGACTCAGGCAAATGACAAGAAAAATTCACGCCACTGAGATCTAACTCTACGAGAGATGCACTGCTGTTCCATTTCGTCTTTGGAAAATAACCACTGAGCTGATCATTATTTTGTAAGACAAGTGTTTCCAGTCTGGGAAGGTGAAAAATACTCTCAGGTATTATCCCATACAGTCCTGTAGATCCAAGGCTCAGAGTTGTTAAATGAGAAGAAAAATTCGGAGGAATAGTGGAAGAGATGTTTATGGAAGTAAGATGAAGCTCTCTTAATTGAGTCAAATTCTGAAGGAGCATTTCAAAATCGTGAGGTCCAAATTGAAGCGTTTCTCCTGAGAAATAAAGAGACTGTAACTTGGAAAGGTGAGAGATTTCAGAAGGGATATGACCTGAGAAATAGGAGTCAGAAAGATCAAGATATGTCAAGCTCGAGAACCTGCCAAATTCAGGCGAGATGTTAGTATTACAGAAGTTATTAGAAGAAAGGTCGAGCCTTTGCAGATAAGAGAGTAGGAAGAGGCTGCTATTGGAATCAATCTTTCCTACAAGACCACTGCAACTAAGATTAAGTTCAATGACATGACCAGTCGGCTCATTGCATACGACTCCATCCCATGAGCAACAATCTATGCTCATATTCCATGAACTCGTATAAGAGTAGGAACTACATGTAACTAATGAGGTATCTACGATAAGTGTTCTCTTGAATTCTAGAAGAGCGGAGCTTTGGTCTTTGCGGCATATATGAGGTATGGATGAACAAAAAGAAAGCTGACAGAAACAGAGAAAGAACAGAAATGAGAATTGGCTAGACCCCATGTTTAGCATCAAAGAGTTTTAGAGTAAATTGGCTGTGAAAATCAAGAAAAGGCTACATAGATATATATATATATAGGCAGACTTCATTGTACCAATACAGTATTTGCCACTTTATATCATCACTAATGCAGTCAACAACTTTGTTGAATATACCTCTTTCGATTCTCATTTCTCATCTCTAAACTTAACATATGGTCTACGTGAAAAGTTGAAACTAAAGATTTTTGCAAAAAAATGATATGGACAAAGATATTCCTTTTCAAAGGAACTAACAAGGAATGTTAATATGTTGTATTTTTCAATGGAAATTTCAAATGAACTAAAAGGGAAATGTGTTTCTCCAAATGTTAGCAAATTTAGTAGCTCTCTATCATTCACACCATGTCTTTGTACATTTTTTATTAAAGAAATTCTTATCATTCTAGAATCAAAAATGGGTTTTTAAATTTTTGTCTTTTTTTCCCCATGTGTTACACATTTACATGTTCTTTACAAGTAAACAAAACTATATACTAAGAAGAAGAAAAAAATCCCTCAAAAAGATTACAAGCTTACAATGAAGTAGGTAAATCATAAACAATTCACAAATTATTAAAATTGTAAAAGAAAATGAGTTGTTGCAAATCATTTTATACAAGTTGCATATCTAAATAAAATATAGCGGTTATTGTTTTTATAAAAAAAAAATTGTTAAGCATGACCAAAAGTTCTATTGCCCTTTTATAGAGTTCATTTTTATAAATCACACACTTTTAGAGAACCAAAACACATATAATGAAACTACAAGGACTTGTATGTTTCAAACTTACATAAGAAGGATGCAAAGTGCAATTTTCCCCAAATATTTCTTATTTCCCTCTCATATAAATAAAACTCCATTCCTTATCCCCTAGCTGCCGGCTTCAGTCACAAAATCTCCGGCCAACTTTCCGGCAAGCGTCTTGGCAGGTATGGAATTCGATATTAAAGCTCTAAAGCAAAAAGGGTTTTGATTCTTTTGACTCCTCGGAGTCAAAATTTGAAGTTTATGGGTTCGGAATTTAGTAGTTTTGAGTTTTGAATTAATAATTTGTATGTACCTGCTTTGTACACTCTAGCTTCGCCCCTTGTACAGATTGAGCTTATATGTGCATAGTGTTCTCTTTATATTTCTAAAAAGATGGGATTTTTACTTCTTGAACATGGGATTTTTAGGTCGATAATGTAGCAACTTTGTGGTTGTGGCAAGAATTGTCATCACTTACATTGTATTTGAAGTTGGAGATGATGAGTGAGGCATAATCATACAATGCTCGAGTAAAAGCAGCAAAATTAGTGTTGTAAACTTAGGTAGGCACTACATTGAGAGTGAAATGGACCTGATAGAGCAAAATGTAATAGAGGATTTTTATAGTTGACTTCAACTAGGTTGGGATTGAGACATAGTTGGTTGATTGACTGATACGTCTTTGTGTATTTTCTTGTTTTCTCGTTTGCATTCCTTTTAATACGTAATGAGTAGATATGCAATTCAATGTCTTTCACTTGTTGCAAGCTCATGTCTTTTGAGGTTTATCTATACTAGTTTCAATTCTAGCAATGAAATCTTATCTTTATGTGACCTTTTCAGTTGTGGCGCAGATAATATATGCCAGTCCTACATTAATGTTTTGTGTTGGTTCCTTGTGAGTCGAAACAAATTAACTTCCGTCTCATATTGTGATTTGATGCAGATTAACTTTCTTCAATTACCTGTCCAATAAGCATAAGTTTGCTCACCTCTTTAGTGGCTCAAATTTCATGGATTCAACCTTAATTTGCTACTATACGAGCAAAGGAAGCTTTTTTTTCCTATAGTTTTGATACAACATAGGCTTGTTTTGTTTCAGGGAAACCGCTCTGGTAGTTCTATGTTCCTATTGGAGGAAAATGGTCTAGAGGGAGTATTGAGTAGAATAGTAATATTATCAATGCAGTATGAAAATGCTTATTATCTTCAATATGGTGTTCTCTGTAGCTATTTTGAAAATTAAGATCAAAACATTAATTTTGAATATTTCATGTTGCACCTGCAAGATGACCACACTTAGATGAATTTCTTTCAGCGTTTGTAAATGATCAAATTCAATTTCAGCACTGTTCCCACTCCATATGTGCCTTCCTTTTTCATTTGTTAAGTGTGTGGCTTCATTTTCAATTAGTTAAGTGGAAAATAGCTTTGAGATGTTGCGCCTTATGATCAGTGACATCTTATGATCTCATGACTTTATTGACTGGTTTACTGGAAATAACACTTGCAGGTGGTTTATTTAAGTATTTCTGAACAATTTATTCATGCATGTACATTAGAGGGTGAAATAAAGAGGGTCATTCTCTTGAAGTATGAGTTGTTTGAGGGGGATAGAGTTTGCTCTGATTCAAAACTGTATAGTAGCTACTGGTGAAAATGGCTTATTTGAATTCACTTTATCAATTACCTGTCTCAGACGAGCTGGTGGTGTTATCTCTTATCTGTCATGCATTATCTTTTCACTTGAAGGATCTTCTCGCGATTCAATATACGAAATTTGCTTTTGATTTCTTCTTGTATTTTGAGAAAGAAAAAAGGGGTCTCTTTCCTTTGTTCACTTGGCTTATGCTCTTACTTTGTGAATGTTTTTTACATTTTCTCATGCTCTGTCCTGCTATATTAATCCATGACATTACTGATATCTGCAATTTGTTCTCTGTTTGCCGTTGCGAATTTCTGAACAATATATTCATGTATTCACTTGATTACTGGTTAATTTTAGTATAAATATTAAAAATATGCTAGACTTTACGCTCTTATATATGATTCATTCTTATCTTGCATTGCTTCCTACAGAGTTGTTGTCAAATATTTGTTTTGGCTGATTCATTAAGTTCAATGCATGCTTCAATTAGCTAATTTGATTGTGCCACTTTCTATTTAATTTTCTTTCTTCCTGTTGCTCAGGCTTAATCTGAAACAGTGGAAATCAGAGAGAAACCGAGGGAAAAAGCAAAAAGGTAATGGCAAAACCATCACAACCAATTCGAAATGAGAAGGAGGAGATAAAAGAGACTGATACTACGGCATCCACCAACAATAATGAGAGCAGCAAAAAGAAGGTGACAAGAAAGTTGCCAAGCGCGAGAGAGCTTGTATCACACTATGAATCACAAGGCGTTGACTCTCAAGAAGCTTCCTATAAGGTCATTGAGGATCTCCAGGGTGCTCTTTTCAGGGTGATCAGCACCTCTCGAAATGACAAGAATCGCAATAATAATAGGAATGTGTCATCTGAAACCTCTAGAAAACTCGATGTTATCAATGCTCGACTGCTCAGCCTTGACATGAAAGTTGATTCCAAGCCAGGCTACCCTCAAACCCTCGCCATCGGGATGGCCTCTGGTGGCCTTCTTCAAGTGCTCCCTCGTGTTGCAGAATCGGTTGTCCAAATTTGGAACTCTGTTAGAAATGCTACCAACTCAAAACAGTAATAGACCATAAATCTTGTTGGTTAGCAATGCTTTCTTGTAGTCATGGTTTTTTCTACTTCTGAAGTAGAGTTTTGTTGAACTTATGATATGCCAAAAAAATAGAAAATTGTTCTCTTAAGGCCCCATTGTTCAACCTGGTGTCATGTATCTTTAGCATGTATATCACAAATTTTGGCTGATATACAGTTGTTGTCACCCAAGATCTATGGTCTTTATTTCTACTAGATGAGCGTAACGTTTGCATACAGTCTATATTCTTTTTACTCAACTCATGAAATCACATTGAATAAATTATTAATATATAGTCAAATCGGAATTTCATATTTTATTCTCCACATTAACTTTTCTTTTTCATTTGATGATATTAAAAGTTCAAAAAAATAATTTTGTCCTATTTTCTTTATTATTAATTGTTGATAATAATAATACTTGGAGGCTATCACTATCATTGTGCTCCCAAAGCAACGTGGGCACACACCTAAAGAAGATAATATATGCACATTTATAAAATTTAGTAAATCTACACCTTCCATTTTGTACTTATCCTTTATCAACCATTTTGATCTCTCCATGTCATCAATATTTATCCTCTAAGTTTTCCTTTTATATTTTTTCACTTTCCATTTCTACCCTTTTCCACTCGCTCTTCGATCAAGAGTATTTAAAATATTTTTTTTATTTCGTAATAAGTAAAAATAAGATTTACGTATATTTCAATATATTTGTTGCATTATTTTGTAAATTATCTGCCCTCCAATGAAGAGTCTTTTTGAAACAATTCATTTTTATTTCTTAAGAAATAAGAATAAGATTGACATATATTTCATTGCATTTTTTGTATTATTTTATAGATTAGTCGAGGTGTTTTTAAGCGAAAGTAGAAGGAAGAAAAAAGTCAACTGAGGGCATTATTGTAAATAAGTTCAATAGTGTGCCTTATCTTTTACTGTATATATATAAACACGAGAACGTGACTCTTATTACTTTCTCTCTCTACATATACATACAAAATATACATATGTATATTCACTAGCATTATTGGGAAGACATGGGGAATGCGAACGCCAGAGAAGACGGCGCCGCCGGAGACGGCGACGGCGACGGTCAGGTATCGGGAAGAAGATCTAATGTTGAATCTGGAATAGTAGAAGATCACCACGCTCTGAACTCGCGAGTGCCTTCGGCTGACTTGATGGTCAATTCTCCTCCGCAGAGTCCACATCGTTCAGCTTCACCTCTCTTGTTCGGACCTCAGGTTTCCATTTTTATGCTCATTTTATCCTATTTATTATATATACATATGAAATAGTATATGTGTATGTGTTTGTTTGTGGTGTTGGTGATTCAAAGGGGATTTAGGATTTGGTGTGGAGTAGAGCTCAAATGAGGTCTAATTTGAGCTTTAGATATAGTTCATTTGTTCAATATGTAAACTTTTTTTACCTTTTTGGAGATTCAAACTAAGAATTTTGTCTTAAAAATGTATTTTTTAAAGGAAGGACAGGGTTTTGATCAATATTAGTGTACTGTTAGAGTCCTATGTTAGTTGGAGAGGGGAGGGACTGGCAATGCTTAATGAGCTAGCTTTTTGGGATGAATTAGGCATTAGTATCGTATATTTTACTTGGTATCCGAGCTGGGTATTGGCTTTGTTTATATGAATTTGAGCAATCCTCTCTTAGTGAGCTAGTTTTGGGGGTTGAGTTATACTCAAATGTCATAACTTTACATGGTATAGAGTTGGATCCATGCGCATTCAAGCTCCTTGCCCACACTACAGTTGGACCTGTTCGTGAAGGGGTGGTTAGAGTTCCACTTTGGTTGTATAATGAACGGATGGTCTGCTTATATGGACTTGGGTGAGCTAGGTTTTTTGGGTTGATTTAAACTAAGTATCATATCTTTACAAGTACCAGAAAACACAAAAGAATGGACTTGTCTCCATTTAAGTATTTAAGTAATCTAGCAAATGATGAGCGAATGCAGTGTAGGGTCTGTGCCATTTACAGTGTTCTGTCTTTTCCACATATAAAGTTTGCTCGCCATGGGGTATATACTTGAGAAAAGATGAATCATTTGCCCTTCAAAACATCTATGATTTCTTTTTATTTAAGTGCACTTCTTACCATATTGATATGATGAGAATCACAACTTATAGTACTTTCTGTTTTGTTTCCAAATGTCTAAATTTTAATTACAAAAAATGAGTTGATCTAGCCTGATTTACTGCAAAAGTTGGTCTCGTTGACTCTTCTTTAGAAAATGTGCCAAACATATTAGGATGGAAGAAGTAATCATTTTTAAATGGTTTAATCGTATGATGGTCAGCTAAGGTGGTGGATACACCCACACCCTATGCAATTACTCTGCATGTTATACTGCCTGTCTGTATGCCTTTGAGTTGCGGTGATGTGTCTGCATCTATAGGGGAGAGTTGCAAATTGATTGTAGTGCTGTTCATTATATGCTTAACTGTGATTTGTTGTGTTTTCCCAATGTAGTAGCGATGAAGTGTTCTGCTTGACACTAAATTGAAACACCTATAGGAACAACCATTACAACATCCTGATCCCAGATCGGTAATATGAATCCTCTATTTTCATTCCACTTCTATTAGGTTTTCATGCTATTCCTATGTGAATTTCCTTCAGGAAAATGCTGAATGAACTCTTCTTTCTGTTTAGTTGGAAGCTTGCATTATAGGGCTTGCCTGAGTGTTGGCCTAGCCCTCTGTTAAATGGGAAAAGGGAAAGCATCTCATGGCCTGTCTATTTGTTGGGTAAAACAGACAACTAATTTATATTAGCAAGGTACATGAAAAAACAAAAGGAACTTATGCCAGTCAAGCAAGCTATAATGTTTCTGTATAAGAACCTAGTGCATCCGGGAGCAGGTGGCGGGTGCAGAAATGTTATGCTGTAATCTTAGTAGGACTGGTGAAACCTTAGTCAATCTGTAGTCAAGTGACAGTTTTTCAGCTCTGAATAATTCACTCTTATTCACTTTGGCTGATTTTTTTTCCACCTTATATATGATGAATATTCTTCATGTTTTGTAGTCAGCACTATCACTCAAAATTTAGGCTTTTCAAAGTGGACAGAAGGGAATAATGTCCCTCTGAGGTTGGCAATTACCCAAGCAAGCACCTCTTATTTTTAGTTAACTTGGAGATAGACCAGAGCAGTTAATTGCTTCTTGGGCACCCCAATCGTACCTCATAAATACTTACGACTGACTAGTTTCGAGACTAAACTCCTCTTTATCATCCTTTCAGGTGCCAGTAGTTCCTTTACAAGGAGGGGATGGCAATCCTGTTAGCAATCAAATGTGGGGCAATGAATGCGAGGATGCCTCTGATCATTCACTAGAGGGCGGCATACCTACTTTGATAACATGGAGTTATGGTGGTAATAACGTTGCTATCCAAGGATCTTGGGACAACTGGACATCAAGGTATACTCTGATTCAACCAAGTACTAGCCTGTGATCATTCCTGTTAATGGAGTTTCTGAATGTATCCACTAATGATATTTGCTTGCAGGAAAATTCTCCAAAGATCAGGCAAGGACTATACCGTTCTTTTGGTCCTTCCATCGGGTATATATCATTACAAATTCATTGTGGATGGGGAAGTTAGATATATTCCAGAACTTCCATGTGTAGCAGATGAGACAGGCGTTGTCTTTAATCTTCTTGATGTTAATGTAAGTGAGAGTTCTGTTTCCTGATCATTTTGATACATTATCACAGCGGAGGCATCTTTGATAACTTCAGCACATTAATGCATAAACATGTGTTTTATAGTCTATATACTTGCTGTTCCCTGATAATGTGTTTGGCTCATAACACGTCCTTCATACAGGACAATGTTCCAGAGAACCTCGAAAGTGTTGCAGAGTTTGAGGCCCCACCATCACCTGACTCTAGCTATGCGCAAGCTTTGATGGGAGAGGAGGATTTTGAAAAGGAGCCAGTGGCAGTTCCACCGCAACTTCATCTAACTGTTCTTGGTTCTGAAAACTCAGAAGAAGCACCTTCTTCTCCAAAACCCCAGCACGTAGTACTTAATCACCTCTTTATAGAGAAAGGATGGGCTTCTCAATCCGTTGTTGCTCTTGGTTTAACGCATAGATTCCAGTCCAAATATGTCACAGTTGTTCTCTACAAGCCACTGAAGAGGTGACCACTCCGTGTTTACAATCAAATCTTTCTAGAGCTTTCTCAGTGTGGCTGCTTTAAGATTTCCACTGTTTATAGACCTGCTCAATGTTCAAACTTCCTTTAACCTCTCCTCTGTTGTACAATAGAGCAATGCATTTTCTCGTTTCTTCACCTCATCTTTTTGGTGATTTTATGTTCATAATGTTTTTTTAATCACAAAAGGATTAATGTGCAAACTGAAAGGCAATTCACCACCAATGCATCTTTTGGAAGACAGAGAACAAAATAACAAATATCTCTCGTCCCTTCCTCGATAGGTTCTTGTTTTTTGTGGTTTATTATTTTGGAATTCAGTGAACTAATTGTAGCTGGCATAAGATTTTCTATTGCATATAACTTGTCATTAAAGATCATCTCAACCTCAATTTTCATGGCCAAATATTGCTACACACTTTATGCAAACAGGATTAAAATAACGATAATACATCTAACTTAATCCATCTTTTCCCTGAAGAAACAACAGTAGTATCATTAGTGATTATTTCTTCTTCTGCAATTCCTTTGCCTTCGCTGCAACTTTTTGAAACACAACTTCTTCTTCCCTTTATCCACTTCCATAGACACTAGATCCTCGCTGTAATCAAAATATTTTAGTTACCTGAAATCAAAACTTAGAAATGATTGTTTCTTCTTCTGTAATTCCTTTGCCTTTGATGCTTCTTCTTCCTTCCTCTCATAATTTTGTGCTCCATCTCTAGAATGATTCTTGCAAGCCATATCGGTTTTCCAGTTGACAACATGAAATATATTATGGATAATCCGATACATAGTCCACTTCCATACCCCATAAGAGCACCTTTCCAGAAATCACTCTGAAATTCAGAATTGCTTCCAGATACGGTTTCATTTGTATCTAATACCCCAGCATCGCTGCAACTTTTTGAAACAGGGAATCCACGTAATCCATCATTTTCTTCATATGAGTTGCTCTCAAAAGTGTGAAATTGAGGTCCTTGAGGAATGCATCCTCGGAGATGATTATGGGAGAGGTTTAAGAATGAAA